GGTGTATCTATTATTTTTTGTGAGTTTTTATATGATACCCTTGACATAAATGATGTTATTTTTGTTGTTTATAATTTTTTTTTTATTCTTTTACTATATAACCGATACGAACCATTGACCCGGCCCCCTTACCTGGTTGTTGTCCGGGTTTAATAACTATGCAAAGAGGAGAAAGTGCAATTTGGTCAAGTGTTGGTCATAGTTTAGTTATATGATTTTGCCCTCTAGCTTGTGAAATAATAAAAGCAAGGTTTAATTGGCATGTGTGCAATTGCTTGTCCAACTATGTCAATCACAACACATCTTTATAATCTTATCTTTTTAAGCGTTGGTGTATATTATGGATATGATGTACACCAAAGCTTAGTATTATTAGAACAATACTTGACTAACATGCTTTATACAATTGATTTTTTGGATATCAGTATTTAATACTTGACTGTCTTGTTACGCCATCGGATGAAGCCCAAGCAATTAGGCCTCAACTGGCATGGTTTATATTATTTTTTTTTGTTGTATACATATTAACCTAATAAATGTCTTGCTACTTCACTAAACAATTGTGTGCAAGAGAATTAGGTTAGTGAAAGAATAAAGGTATACATGGACTCAAATTGTCTTTACATGAATGGTTAGATTTTTCCCAAAGACATTTAGGGGTAGGACCGATAATCGAGTCGAGTTTGTCGAGTTCATTTTTTTTAAATGAGTTTAGAAAATTGTTCATCTCAAGTAGCTCGACTATTTTACATATAAACGAGCCGAGATGAGCTTAAAAAATTATATAAGTTCGGCTTGCTTAGAATATGAATTGACCTCGAATCGAATTTTATTCAAGCCAAACCCGAGTAACTCAGCTCAATTATCGGCCCTAAAATAGGGGGAATTATCACTCATCCTATTGTATGGCTAACATTCAAATGTTTTTACATAAGGCTCTTTTCTCACATGCTGTTAGTCATCATGTGATTTTAGCTCTTGCTGACTGATTGTTGTGTATTTGCAGAAATTGGTGGAAGCATCACACTAGGATTAGGGGGGTTTTCAAAGGCATCAAGCCAGAGGCTCGCTTCTAATAATGTGTTTACTTGGACTTCAAATCTCCTGAGATCACCTTTTCTTTGTATGGATACAGTTCTTTCTTTCCCCATCTATATGAATGACATTTTTTAGAATGACAAGTGATGGGTTTTCATAAGTTTATTACATTATTGTGAGATTTAGCTACATTGTGTGGACAGGAGGACGTGGTACAAGCATGTGTGAAAGTGATGAGAAATATTGCATGAACATGGAAAAATTTAGAAATGTGCACAAAAAGAGAGCATTCTTAGTAGTTTTGGTTATAATGTAGAAGAGAGGAACTCTTCATTCGAGCTCTAAAATTTCTAAGTCGTAGCTAGGGTATCGATATTGCAGCAATCGCCCTCTCGGGTCGTCCTCTCGATAGTAGAGGTGACTACTATCATCACGCTAAATGGTATGGGCATGGTATCTCTAGAAATAAGCCAATGACGGAAAAAGCACCTATTGGGACAAGTAAGTTTTTCATTGTAGACTTGTTTTGNATTTCAAGTTTCTAGAAACGAGTAGGTCCACGAACTATAGCAAATCGTGCTTGGAGCACTCCAAAAGCTCTCTCAATATCCTTTCTAGCTGACTCTTGAGCTTGTGCAAAATTTATTTGTTTATTGCCTCTTGGACATGAAATTGTTTTGACAAACGTAGCCCACTTTGGATATATACCATCAGAAAGATAATATCCCATAGTATATTCGTTTCCATTGACGAAGTAATTGACCGAAGGAGCTCTACCTTCTGAAAGAAAAGTAAAAACAGAAGAACGTTCTAGAACATTTATATCATTGTGGGATCCAGGTAAACCAAAAAAGGCATGTCAAATTCATAGATCATATGAAGCCACCACCTCTAAAATAATTGTTAGTTCATGAACATGCCCAGAATACATACATTTCCATACTGTTGGACAATTCTTCCATCTCCAATGCACGCAGTCAATGCTACCTAGCATCCCAGGAAACCCACGTCTCTCACCGATTGCTAATAATCTAGTAATGTCTGCGCTGTTTGGTGACCTGAGGTACTCATCAGAATAAATTGCTACTATGATCGATACAAATCTTTGCAGACTTTCTATTATGGTGCTTTCGCCGATTCTCACATAATCATCAATAGCATCTGCTGCAACTCGATAAGCAAACATTCTTATAGCGACAGTCATCTTTTAAAGGGAAGACAAACCAATATTCCCAACAACATCCTTTTTTTGGACAAAGTATGGATCATAAGCTTCCACCATGGATAAAATACGAACGAAAAGAGATTGATTCATTCGAAACCTCCTTCGAAATAAATTTTGGGGGATAGGTAGGCGATTCTACAAAATAATCGCGGTAAAGTCTCTAGTGCCCTTCAACTCGATTGCGAAAAATAATAGAATGACCTTAAATAGAATCACGACGTATTGTAGAGTTGTTCTCAGTATTAAGTTCCTCCATTGTCATAGCAGCAATCGCTAACATCTCCAAGTTATTATCAGAGTCAGAATCATTAAGCATCATCATCAAATTAACATTATGAGCCATATCAAAGAAATATGAGTTCAATACTAGTAAAATAAATTTGAGATGTATGACAATGAGAATGAAAATGTCTTATTTATATATTTTTAAAAATATGATCGTTGATGATGTGGCACGATACGACATCATTATGGCGTTAACGTGTTATGTCACGTGATATTTTTGAATTATATTATTAAAAGTTAGTAAAAATTAATTGAAATAGTTAATTAAAATAGAAAGTGGAATTTAAGTGAATTTTAAAAATTTGATAATTAAAGTAATGAATATAATATTTAAATATATTTTAAATAACTATTTTATTGAGGGATAGTGAAGCCCTTGGCCGAGAAATTGGAAAAAGGTTTTGCTGACATGGTCGAAAAAGAAGTGGAAATGCAGAGCACTTTCTTTTTTCTATTGTGAAGGGAATCAAAAGATACAACAAAGGAACCCCAAAACCCCAAACTAAGATCTCCCCAAGCCACAAAGAACTTGTGGCTCACAATTCCCGCCCTTTGCTGACGAGGATTTGCCTACACCTTCCCTCCTCTCTCTCCATCTCTCTCTCTTTCTCTGTGTGTAAAATCAAAAAGAACCCATTCTTTATGTTTCAGAAGAAGAACCAACTTGAAGTCCCCCTGAACGGAAAAAGAAACAGAGAGAAAGTTTGAAAAAGAAAAAGACTTTTTGTATAGAGAGATAGGATCAGAAGAATGTCAGAAGTGAAAGATTCGGCGATTAAGCTGTTTGGGAAGACAATTCAATTGTCGCCTGAAGAGGGTGTTTCGTGCGCTGTCACCACAACGAAGGTTGATTCTGATCATCATGATCAACACTCTTCCAACGCAAACACTTCACTTGTCAATAAGGTACATAAATACATGTATACGTACAGTGTGTGTGTGTGGGTGAGAGAGAGAGAGAGAGAGGCGTTGATTTACAACCAGTTTTAAGACCCANACTTCAAGTTTCTAGAAACGTGTAGGTCCACAAACTATAGCAAATCGTGCTTGGAGCACTCCAAAAGCTCTCTCAATATCCTTTCTAGTTGACTCTTGAGCTTGTGCAAAATTTATTTGTTTATTGCCTCTTGGACATGAAATTGTTTTGACAAACGTAGCCCACTTTGGATATATACCATCAGAAAGATAATATCCCATAGTATATTCGTTTCCATTGACGAAGTAATTGACCGAAGGAGCTCTACCTTCCGAAAGAAAAGTAAAAACAGAAGAACGTTCTAGAACATTTATATCATTGTGGGATCCAGGTAAACCAAAAAAGGCATGCCAAATTCATAGATCATATGAAGCCACCGCCTCTAAAATAATTGTTAGTTCATGAACATGCCCAAAATACATACATTTCCATACTGTTGGACAATTCTTCCATCTCCAATGCATGCAGTCAATGCTACCTAGCATCCCAGGAAACCCACGTCTCTCACCAATTGCTAATAATCTAGCAATGTCTGCGCTGTTTGGTGACCTGAGGTACTCATCAGAATAAATTGCTACTATGATCGATACAAATTTTTGCAGACTTTCTATTATGGTGCTTTCGCCGATTCTCACATAATCATCAATAGCATCTGCTGCAACTCGATAAGCAAACATTCTTATAGCGACAGTCATCTTTTAAAGGGAAGACAAACCAATATTTTCAACAACATCCTTTTTTTGGACAAAGTATGGATCATAAACTTCCACCATGGATAAAATACGAACGAAAAGAGATTGATTCATTCGAAACCTCCTTCGAAATAAATTTGGGGGATAGGTAGGCGAATCTACAAAATAATCGCGGTAAAGTCTCTGGTGCCCTTCAACTCGATTGCGAAAAATAATAGAATGACCTTAAATAGAATCACGACGTATTGCAGAGTTGTTCTCAGTATTAAGTTCCTCCATTGTCATAGTAACAATCGCTAACATCTCCAAGTTATTATCAGAGTCAGAATCATTAAGCATCATCATCAAATTACCATTATGAGCCATAGCAAAGAAATATGAGTTCAATACTAGTAAAATAAATTTGAGATGTATGACAATGAGAATGAAAAGGTCTTATTTATATATTTTTAAAAATATAACTGTTGAAAATATGACCGTTGATGATGTGGCACGATACGACATCATTATAGCGTTAACGTGTTATGTCACGTGATATTTTTGAATTATATTATTAAAAGTTAGTAAAAATTAATTAAAATAGTTAATTAAAATAGAAAGTGGAATTTAAGTGAATTTTAAAAATTTGATAATTAAAGTAATGAATATAATATTTAAATATATTTTAAATAACTATTTTATTGAGGGATAGTGAAGCCCTTGGCCGAGAAATTGGAAAAAGGTTTTGCTGACATGGTCGAAAAAGAAGTGGAAATGCAGAGCACTTTCTTTTTTCTATTGTGAGGGGAATCAAAAGATACAACAAAGGAACCCCAAAACCCCAAACTAAGATCTCCCCAAGCCACAAAGAACTTGTGGCTCACAATTCCCGCCCTTTGCTGACGAGGATTTGCCTACACCTTCCCTCCTCTCTCTCCATCTCTCTCTCTTTCTCTGTGTGTAAAATCAAAAAGAACCCATTCTTTATGTTTCAGAAGAAGAACCAACTTGAAGTCCCCCTGAACGGAAAAAGAAACAGAGAGAAAGTTTGAAAAAGAAAAAGACTTTTTGTATAGAGAGATAGGATCAGAAGAATGTCAGAAGTGAAAGATTCGGCGATTAAGCTGTTTGGGAAGACAATTCAATTGTCGCCTGAAGAGGGTGTTTCGTGCGCTGTCACCACAACGAAGGTTGATTCTGATCATCATGATCAACACTCTTCCAACGCAAACACTTCACTTGTCAATAAGGTACATAAATACATGTATACGTACAGTGTGTGTGTGTGGGTGAGAGAGAGAGAGAGAGAGGCGTTGATTTACAACCAGTTTTAAGACCCACCCATTCCTCAAAATTTGAAAATTAGTAGTGGGTAGATTTTAGTTTCTCTTAGTAGTTAGAGTTTACTTCGTATCCTAGTAAATGTGTTTTGTGGTTTCCAAACACACACAAAGGAATAAGGTGATTGGACAACGATTGAACCTTGGGATTAATTATCAGCAACTCCGAGAGCAACCCATTTTTATGAAATCCAAAGCCAATGAAGGGTCGATGAAGTTTTCCCAAGATTTAAAATTTATCTTCACTTCGTGAGAGTCTTACGTTGGTTTTTTTTCTGTTGATTTTTGTTGGACCTTTATAAGATTTTGAGTCAATGCTTCTTCGATTAGTCTGTTTTTGTTCTTAAAAGTACTTCAATCAGGGATTTGGAGAAATTAAGTTTCAATTACTGGTTTTGTTTGTGAATCATCTGAGGGTTAGAGTCTGTGCTCTGCATATTCAACCAAATTACTTAACAAGTTTGCTGGAAAAAAAGCAAAAAAGAGGAGATTTTGTTGAAACTTCTATGAATTCAAATCAACTTTCTATCCTCACTTGTATTTGTACTTGTACTTGTACTTGAACTTGAAGCTAGTTGATCTGTTTACTACTTGCCGTTTTGCTTTATAGCTTGGTCTTTGGACCCTTTCATAACCAATCTTTAACAGTTACTCTTCTGTTCTCAAAGTCCACTTTTATGCACTTTTCTGAAACTGAAGATTTCTGAGTGAGATGGGTTTCCCAGCAGCTTTTGGTTTAACTGCTTTAAATGCCAATTTACCTCAGTTTTTTTTTTGGGTCAGAATTTTATCTCAGTTGAACTGCTGATTATTTTCAAAATTCCTACATTTATTATTGGTCAATATCTTTTCCCCTTTGTCTTCAAACTAGGGGTAAACTGTGTCCGATGACATGGTGCAATATGAATAGTTTTGAGTGGGATGTATTTGAGCCGGTTGAATGAGCTTATCAAGCCCGTCCAGTTGTATATTATAGATTTAACATGTTTATCTCCAAACTGCGGCTGATTTACCTAGTTTTGTGGTGGTGGTGTTTTTTCCACTTCCACTTCCACTTTATTGGACATGGTGAAATGAGAAGTTTTTCATAAATTCTGAAAATTATATCAGATCCAGGATCTTCTGATAATTACAGAACTGGATTTTCAGTTTGAAGATTTTCGAGTTAAAATAGATTTTCCTTTTGATTAAGATTCTTCTATTTTGGACTACTACTATGTTTCTTGATGTTAGTCACTTACATGAGTGTCTCTTTGTCTGGATCAAGTACTCAAAATTTACAGGCTGAGAAGGCATGGATGATTTCAACATTCTTTTGTTTAGAAAGTTTATCAGCTATATATGTCTCAAAATAGTTGGGATTTCTCTCCTTTTTTAGTTTTTCTGGCCTTTGCTATGGTTCCTTGTCAATGGTTATGTGTGAAAGAATGTTGAAAAAGATTTTCCCAATATGGGTTTGTGTTGTTTTCATCACTGAAGCTCATTCGTGTGTAGAATGGCACTGGTGGGCTCTCCTATTTTCTTATATCATCAGATTGAGATGGATTTAGCCAGCTAATTGAGGGGGAAGAAATCAATCACTTCATAAACAAACAACGAAAAAGCATTCTACATTAAGAGAATTTTAAACCAACCCATGGAATGGATGGTTGTATATGTTCTTATATACTGAAAATATAGAGTTTACTCTATTTAATCTTTATTTTATTTATATCAGAAACCTTCAGGAGAAGAACTCCTTGAGACTGAAGAGGATGATGACAGCTCCCATCAAGTTGGAGAGGTGTTGATAGCTACGGCAACATCATCGGGGATTACTGAGGACCCTAAAACACCCAGTGATGACAGAGAAAATTTGAAACCAAAAGCAACCAAGGAGGAAGACTCGAATGAAACAAATGACTCACAAGAAAAGACTCTAAAGAAGCCTGACAAGATAATTCCATGTCCAAGATGCAATAGCATGGACACAAAATTCTGCTACTACAACAATTATAATGTTAACCAGCCTCGACATTTCTGCAAAAACTGTCAGAGATACTGGACTGCTGGTGGAACGATGAGAAATGTGCCAGTTGGTTCTGGTCGTCGTAAGAACAAAAGCGCTGCTGCTTCACATTACTGTCAGATAATAGTTTCAGAAGCTCTACAAGCAGCTCAAGCTGATCCTGCAAATGGGATTCACCATCCGACTTTGAAGCCCAATGGCACAGTTCTTACCTTTGGCTCAGATGCACCACTTTGTAAATCCATGGTATCTGTACTGAACCTTGCAGAGAAATCACAGAATCATGTTGGAAATGGGTTTCATGGACCTGAACAAAGTATTCCAGATTCTTGTGGAGGGGGAGAAAATGGGGATGATCAGTCAGGTGGGTCTTCTAGCTCAGCTTCAAATTTAACAGAGAAGGGAAGCAATGCTGGTCTACAAGATTCAATGATAAAGAATTTTCAGGTTTTTCCATCCCCAGTACAATGCATCCCTGGGCCTCCTTGGCATTTTCCAGGGAACTCAGGTCAGTGGAGGTCTCCAATGCCTCCACCTGCTTTTGGTCCTTCTGGCTTTCCTGTATCATTTTACCCAGCGCCAACCTATTGGGGTTCTACTGTGTCAAGCCCTTGGAACATGCCATGGGTATCACCTCCACCTTCTTCTCCTGATCACTCTGGGTTGAGCTCCAGGCCTAATTCTCCAACCTTGGGGAAACATTCTAGGGACGGAAACATGCTTAAACTGTCAAATCTAGAGAAAGATAATCCCTTGCAAGACAAAAATACAGAGGGATTTGTTTGGATACCGAAGACTTTGAGGATTGATGATCCAAGCAAAGCTGCAAAAAGTTCCATTTGGTCAACACTTGGAATAAAGAATGAGAAGACTAGTTCGATTAATGGGGGTAGTCTTTTTAAGGCCTTTCAACCAAAGGGTAAGAGAAAAAATCACATTGACAAAACATCTCTGGTGCTGCAAGCCAACCCTGCAGCTTTGTCCCGGTCACTCAACTTCCACGAGAGCACTTAAAGAGAACCGGAATTTCATCCCAACTTTTCTAGGATTGTAGCTGCTCTGAAGAGGACTTTATATCTTATGAACTTAGATGCTTAAAAAATTGTGGCTCTTTTCTTGGCAGTAAGACCTTACTGGTTATGACTTGCTAACCTCAATGCAGGAATTAACCCAAGAAACAACCCCAAACGGAGGAAGACTGGATAGAACTCTTTGCTGGAGAGTGGAACTGCCTCTAATGGTCTCAATTAGTTGGTCCTTTTTACTTTCTTGTACATTGTAAGTAGTCGTCTATGTGATAATTAAGCTTCCACGGTTTGCCAGTAAGTGTTTATTGTACATATCTATAACAGTACAGAGAGTTGTAGAAACAAATAGATTCTTGGATGTACCAAAGACAAATGTTGTCGAATAATCTGAGAATCCAAATCTCGAATTTCCTTTCAATTTCTTGAATTGTTTTGATTCCTAGTGATGAATTTTGAACCGCTAACTCCTCTCAAATGCTTCCTGACACTTAATTTATGAGTTTGACAACCTTTTGTTGCCTTTTAATGCCCACGGAGGCAGACTGGATATTTTCAAATGTTTTCTGCTTATGGAGGTCTTGCCCCCAGTCATCTATCNTCCTGACACTTAATTTATGAGTTTGACAACCTTTTGTTGCCTTTTAATGCCCACGGAGGCAGTACTGGATATTTTCAAATGTTTTCTGCTTATGGAGGTCTTGCCCCCAGTCATCTATCCACTATTCTTCATAACTTTCTTAATTGGTTAGCAAATTATATCTAAGTAGCTTTGTTGTGAGTTTTACTCGATATCTGAATATATTTCCTGTGTTATTCAGTTAGCTACATCTGCCTGTTTTATTGGGAGACTCCTGCAGAAAACATAAATCTTCAGGAACAACACAAAAATCTGGATAAAACATTGCTCATGTCTTAGCATGTTGCATTGAAAGTTATAATGTTGAATAGATCCAAGAAAGCAATTATACAGATCTCATTGGCCAGAGTGGAAATATTATTGGAGCTGGGCAGATTGGAAAATCAACAAAAGTTTCGTGCAGGTCCTCTTGTGCATATAAACTTGAATTAATGTCACAAAAGTTCCAGTACCTTTCTCTTTCAGGAATGCCAAATGAACTGAGATAAGGTTTCCTTTTCTTCTTTTTTTCTGCTTTCTTTCCTGTTTCTTTTCCTATTGGGAAAATCGTATCTACATAATCAGCATCTGCTGATATAATTGGGTATGTATGTATGTTTGTGTGTGTACCATAAAAACCCAAACAAACACTGACACACACACACACACAAACAGAGAGTTGTGTCCGAGTGTATGCTGCTGTTTGTGTATGTTACAGCCAAATCTATTAATGTGTGTTTCTAACTGATAGGCCTGGGTGAGGCATCTTGAGATTTCAATGTTATTATCAGCATTGAGAGGCCACATATTCTGCATAAAATGAGTTGTTATGGGACCCCATGCATGTGATGCTTTGTAGACTTTTATATCCTCTCCTCTTTGCTCCTTTCTGTCATTATCTTGTGTTCTAGTTTTTTTTTTTCTTTTCATTTGAATCTGCTTTCATAGTTACTTCAAAATATTATGCGATATCAATATGTTCGATGGAGACGAAGAAAGCTCGATACATTTCATTCCGAGACCAATACACAAATTCCGCATAAAAAGATTCAAAAACGTCTCAAACAATGCAACTGACTCATTTGAGTCATCGTTTTGCTATGTCGTTATATCATTCCGTGATGCCGACATATTTTTTCGTTACATGATATGATCTCAATATTTTTATCATGTCAAACTTCTTATATCTAACATTCTGCCATATCATTTTTACTGTTTCGGAATGCATGATCAATGTGTCTCAATATCTTCCGAGTTGATGGCTAATCCCGCAAACTAAAGGAGGCCACCCTCAAATCTCTTTTGGAGCATACCACAATTTGATCAACTATAACTATTGATCAATTAGTGCTATGATTTTCCTCCCAGGTGGGGTTCAAAACCAAAAACCAATGGCCAAATGGATTTTAAACACATAACACTACATCTATAGATACAATAGACTTGTGGGAGAAAAGTCAGTTGGGAATAATCAAACATCAGGTCCACCATAAACTTTCCTTTCTGTAATGTGCTTGTGAAGTGCTTGGAAAAGTGATTCAAAGTTAGCTTTTTGACAAGGTGGAAGTCATGGAATGTCCCTTTCCTTTCCCACTCAAAGAATTTCTTTCCTGGTAATCTTCCCATGAAGAGAATCAGAAAAAAATGCCAAAGGTTTCAACTTTATTTTTTACTCTCCTAATGCTTGGACTTACCTAAGTAATCTACACAGATTAAACCAATAGAGATTCCTAAGACTATAGGAACCAAGGATCCAAATTTTGTTTTAAAAGGGTCGAATTATCTCTGTTTTCAAGGAAATCAAAATGAATCAATGATAAAATCAAAATTCTAATATTTCGAAATGTTTCAAGATATTTCGAGATGTTTTTACCATTGATTTGGAATTTTTCTATATGTTTCGATATATTTCAAAATATTTTGAAAATCAATTCTCAATTTTTTATTCTTTTTCATTATGTTTTTGAATATTTTCGAAATATTTCTAAAACGTGCACTGTAGATATATTTTGAAGCATAGCTAAATATACATATAGATAAACATAACTTTATTAACCAACCCCCTTTATTTTTTTTTATTCTTTTGAACTTTACTTTCTAGAGCTTCTTGATGTGGAAAGTTAATTTAAAAATTCCAAATTACATGATGGAAATACAAGTGTCAAATGTTAATGGGATATACTAATCCAACAATTTTTTCACGACAGATGGTAATCAACCTCTTAACTTAACCTTCTAGTAACGTACAACTTCGCGCTCTATATATTTTTTTTTTCTATAGGAAATTTTATCATTATTTATCACAGCACGCTTTTAAAATGTTATTTTGATTTAAAAAACTGATCTAATTTGTTGATTTAATGTGTAGTTTCATTGAAACCATTGACTCACATCAAGTTCTAATATTTGATTAGATTTATAATCAATCTAAAAGTTATAGTGAATTAAGTTCTAATAACATTGCTATTATTGAATTATTAGGTAAAAAGTTGACAAGAACAATATCATTATGTATAAATACGAAAAAAGAAGTGTGAAAAATGGCAAGAAATAGCACATTGATCTGTTTGGACTCTGCCCAACCAAGTCCAACAAAACAGAAAGATTGCCCAAAATATTCTCAGTGTTTTCATGACAGTTGGTTTAACTTGGACGGGTCAATTCTTTTTTTTTTTTTTTCCTATTTAAAAGAGTGGTTGGGGACAATAAGGCACAACAACCCTTATAATGTTACCTTGAGCTTCTAACTCATTTGAAAAATATTTGATTTGAATCATAACTACTGACTTAAGATAGTCGAGCGAATCACCATAGCCCCACCGAAGATAAGTTGGATATCCAGCCCCTCCAATAATATTTGATTCACAATGATTATTACCGTAAACGGGTTCAAACCCATGACCACTGAAGAATGGAGAGACTTTCACCCTCTATTGAAAGCAACTAGACTACCACCTGGGTGATTGGACGGGTCAATTCACCACAACCCTATTCTAACACAAATGTATACAAACTTTTTAGAAATATATTTTTAGTATTCGGGTTAAATTTGGACCAAAAAAAAAAAGTTCAACCCAATTTAAACTCAAACAAAATTCGGATTAGGGATTCGAGATGCACAAATCCAACTCAAGTGTTGTCCAATTTTAATATATGAATTCAACATGGTTATATGCAATTTATATTAGTAAAGAATAAATATATAACAAATTGCATCGACTTTCACAGCTCGATCTAATTCATTCTTAAGCTTGTTATAAACCGACTCGATTAAACTCAAATTATAGACCTTAGTAATTGCATAATTTGGATAACAATTGGGTTGAATGACTTGTGCTGCAATTCGACTTGAGTTGAACTAACTTCTCCATTTACCCAAATCGCCCGAATTGCACCAACCTCCTCTACAAAAACTGACATTAAGACACACACACACACAGGCCCACATTTTTACCTGTCTTAGTTGGAAGGACTATGGGTAGCCCAAGCCCACATCTTTGGGCTAGGCAAGACATGTTATATGTGGTCCCCAGCTCCAAGGCCGGTTTGGATCTGCCGTCTCTGGGACCCATAAAGCCGACCATGTTGAAATCAACTTAATTTAGTTTTGAGAGAATTATTTAATTTTTGAAACTTTTGTCTAGAAGAAACAAACAAGATTTTGTTCTACCTAATTTACCCCGAAATCAATATAAATAGAAACTTGATATATTCCTTCCGTTCTTAAATATATGTCGTTTTACACAATTTTTTTTGTTCCATAATATCTATCGTTTAATAAAATCAAAACATAATTAATATTTTTTTTTCCAAATTTACCCTTAACTTTTCATTATATTAGATTAGGTGAAGGTTAGGTGTCTTTCATTTTCCTTTTATTCCCGATACGTATTAAATAAAGATATTTCAGTCTTGTGCAATTATTTTTTACTCATATTAAAGCTATTTAATAGATTCTTCAATTTCTATACAAAAATTTTAAACGACAGATATTTAAAAACGGCGGAAGGTGTCACTAAAAGACAAAATCTATTTGGAAGTTCTGTGTGAAACCCAATGGGAACCCATTGCTAAAGGTCTCATTTTGCACCTGCAATTGCATGGAAAGTTCTGAATTCTTTTCCGTCACTTTCAGAGTAATTCCGTCGACAATGCATTCCTATTCCTGCTCTATTTTTTAGGAGTAATTATTGGGTAAAACGGTTACGTCATGTTATCACCGTAATATAATATTATTATTTAATAATAAATTTACAAATAAATAAAATAAACTTCACTCAATAGCTATTTTCAAACATTGAACGGTTACTGAATTACATGATCGAATGATTATTTTAATATGTGATGTCGATTCTTTTACTTGTTATGTTCTTATTCAACGGTAACACTGTCGTGATGTTTTGTCACTGAGACAGAAAGTCTGTGTGCATGCGTAAGTTTTGGTTACGTCTTGTGGGTTACCTCTTCAGTGTTTTATCTCAATCATTTCTTGGAAAATAACACAACATTACACACTTCCTTCCACAGAATTTAAAAAACAAAGAATGGATTATTTCAATCCCTTCCAACTTACGTAAAAGCATGGGTGTTTATATATATACCTTAACCTCTTACCATTCCTTGCATCACCAACATTCCCCACGACTATTCTTACCTTTTTTTTTTTTTTTAAATTTCCTATTTTCTTGTATCGCATACCGAAACTTGGATTAGGAAAGTCCATTCCCACTGACCACTATTCTCACAACTTTTGTAGTTTTTTTCTCCATCTTAAGTTTCTTTGCGTAAATTTGTGTTTTATATTTTATTGTGACCATCGTGCACGATAAAATATAATCCACCGCCACCGCCACCGCCACCGCCCACATCTTCTTTAATTAACTACCTTTCCCAGATGAAGACACCAACAAAAAACACGACATTTCTGCTTTCTTCACTTTTCAAAATTCTTCACTGGGACATGATCAGCATTCACAACTTCCTCTCAAGTGTTCACTTCTTCCTCCAAAATCTCCTGAAAATTGTCTTAACCAAATGTAACTTATGGAACAGCATGAAAGCACCAAACCATGAACCACTGAGCAAACAGTCTTTGTCTGATGATGAGGAGTTCAGTGAAGAGAAACTTTGCAGAGAAGAGGTGAATATGGTGATGGACAGACTGGGGATAACGTGTGATTTTGATGGTGAAAGCTTTGGTGTGAATGAGCTTTCATGGCTGTTTGATCATGATGAGGAGCTAGGCTTGGAAGAGTTGAAGGAAGCTTTTGATGTATTTGATGAGAACAAAGATGGATTCATAGAAGCAACTGAGTTGCAGAGAGTCCTCTGCAACTTGGGGTTTAAGGAAGGATCAGAATTGGAGGAATGCACAAGGATGATCAAGGCTTTTGATGGCAGTGGAGATGGACTTATTGATGTTAGTGAGTTTGTGAAATTCATGGAGAAGGGCTTTTGCTGAATTTTTTTTTTGTACTAAATAGTATGTGGCGTGATGAAAAATAAATAAATAAATAACATCATTTGATCTTTCCTAGAACTGTCACATAGAATTAATCTATTTTTTCTTATTTGTTTGTGACCGGAAATCTCAATAAAGTATGAGAACATTTGATTCGTAACTCTAGATATATGTAATCACCCGTTAATCACAAGTATCTGTTAAATCCGTTAAACACGAGCAAAACACANTTTTTTTTTTTTTAAATTTCCTATTTTCTTGTATCGCATACCGAAACTTGGATTAGGAAAGTCCATTCCCACTGACCACTATTCTCACAACTTTTGTAGTTTTTTTCTCCATCTTAAGTTTCTTTGCGTAAATTTGTGTTTTATATTTTATTGTGACCATCGTACAAATATAATCCACCGCCACCGCCACCGCCACCGCCCACATCTTCTTTAATTAACTACCTTTCCCAGATGAAGACACCAACAAAAAACACGACATTNTGCACGATAAAATATAATCCACCGCCACCGCCACCGCCACCGCCCACATCTTCTTTAATTAACTACCTTTCCCAGATGAAGACACCAACAAAAAACACGACATTTCTGCTTTCTTCACTCTTCAAAATTCTTCACTGGGACATGATCAGCATTCACAACTTCCTCTCAAGTGTTCACTTCTTCCTCCAAAATCTCCTGAAAATTGTCTTAACCAAATGTAACTTATGGAACAGCATGAAAGCACCAAACCATGAACCACTGAGCAAACAGTCTTTGTCTGATGATGAGGAGTTCAGTGAAGAGAAACTTTGCAGAGAAGAGGTGAATATGGTGATGGACAGACTGGGGATAACGTGTGATTTTGATGGTGAAAGCTTTGGTGTGAATGAGCTTTCATGGCTGTTTGATCATGATGAGGAGCTAGGCTTGGAAGAGTTGAAGGAAGCTTTTGATGTATTTGATGAGAACAAAGATGGATTCATAGAAGCAACTGAGTTGCAGAGAGTCCTCTGCAACTTGGGGTTTAAGGAAGGATCAGAATTGGAGGAATGCACAAGGATGATCAAGGCTTTTGATGGCAGTGGAGATGGACTTATTGATGTTAGTGAGTTTGTGAAATTCATGGAGAAGGGCTTTTGCTGAATTTTTTTTTTGTACTAAATAGTATGTGGCGTGATGAAAAATAAATAAATAAATAACATCATTTGATCTTTCCTAGAACTGTCACATAGAATTAATCTATTTTTTCTTATTTGTTTGTGACCGGAAATCTCAATAAAGTATGAGAACATTTGATTCGTAACTTTAGATATATATAATCACCCGTTAATCACAAGTATCTGTTAAATCCGTTAAACACGAGCAAAACACAAAACCAAGACGTTCGAATTCATGTTTCACCCTAAGTTAATCCACTCTGACCTAATTTCTTGCTCTTGGACTACATATATACACATTGTTATATTGTCATATCTTCCGATTGTGTTTTCAGTTAAAAAAATAAAGTAATTAGGATGGATAAGTGGGCTTTTGTATAGAGTTTTGATTTGGCCCATGAAGTAAATTATCCGATGGGTAATTTAGAAGTCGGTACAATTTTTTAGACTTATTTAAGTAAAAGTAGAAATCAAAAATTTATTTTGGGTAAAGTGCATATTTTTTTAAAATACCACTATTGCCATCAGTAAACAGTAAATATATGAAAACTCATTATCTTCCATCTGTTTTTTTTTTTTGGCTAAAATTAAGTATGAAGTAAATTAGGGGGTTTAACTATCAAAACCCATCTTCTTCGACAGAAGGATTGGAATACCAAAACTATGACTGTTCATCGTTCAAAAAAAAGAGGAACCCAAATTACTATTTATCGTCCAAAAAAAAGAGGAATACAAGTTACTGTTCATCGTCCAAAAAAAAGAAGAATATGACTTACTGTTCATCATGTACTNAAAACCCATCTTCTTCGATAGAGGGATTGGAATACCAAAACTATGACTGTTCATCGTTCAAAAAAAAGAGGAACCCAAATTACTATTTATCGTCCAAAAAAAAGAGGAATACAAGTTACTGTTCATCGTCCAAAAAAAAGAAGAATATGACTTACTGTTCATCATGTACTATGGTCAAGTAATTGTGAATCATCTTCGGCAACTTCTTCACCAATAATTACAGGTAACATTAATTTTTGCTTTTTTGTCATTCATTAATTTTTTTTTTCCACAATCTGCGTTGTTTGATTTTTTAATTAAAAATAGTTACGTAACNCGAGTTACTATTCATCGTCCAAAAAAAAGAAGAATATGACTTAGTGTTCATTATGTACTATGGTCAAGTAATTGTGAATCATCTTCGGCAACTTCTTCACCAAAAATTACAGGTAACATTAATTTTTGCTTTTTTGTCATTCATTAATTTTTTTTTCCACAATCTGCGTTGTTTGATTTTTTAATTAAAAATAGTTACGTAACTGTTTTAAGTAACTATTTGTGATCACAAATTGCAAAATTTTAATATTCAAAAATTAATTGTTGAAATTGTATTGACACAGTTACACCCATTAAAAAATAGTTACGTCCATTAAAACACAGTTACACCCCTTAAAACAAAATCAATTTTTTTCCCTTCATTCCAGCATTGAGTAAACATAAAACAAAATCAAACATAGAAATTTTTCCAAAAAAATGACCGAATAAAAGAAGAAATATACTTATTAAGTCTATACAAAAAAATAGTTACACTCATTAAAAACAATTACACCCATTAAAACCAAAAGCATTTTTTTTTCCCCTTCATTCCAATAACGAACCAACATAAAACAAAATCAAACATAGTNTTGTTGAAATTGTATTGACACAGTTACACCCATTAAAAAATAGTTACGTCTATTAAAACACAGTTACACCCATTAAAACAAAATCAATTTTTTTTCCTTCATTCCAGCATTGAGCAAACATAAAACAAAATCAAACATATAAATTTTTCCAAAAAAATGACCGAATAAAAGAAGAAATATACTTATTAAGTCTATACAAAACAATAGTTACACTCATTAAAAACAATTACACCCATTAAAACCAAAAGCAATTTTTTTTCCCCTTCATTCCAATAACGAACCAACATAAAACAAAATCAAACATAGTCATTTCCCAAAAAAAAAAAAATGAACTAATAAAAGAAGAAATATACTTATTATGTCTATAAGAAAAAATAATTACACCATTAAAAACAGTTACACCCATTAAAACTAAATTTAGTTTTTTTTCCCCTCCATTCCAACAACGGACAAACATAAAACAAAATCGAACATAGAAATTTCTCCAAAAAAAATGACAAAATAAAAGAAGAAATATAATTATTAACCACTAATCTTTAAGTCGATGATGATAATTGGTATTTGCAATTCCTTTTTTCGAATAAATCAACCACTGAAGAAGTAAATCGATCGTTGAATAAAACTCTTACTGATGAGATCAGATGAACACAGACGTTAAAAAAAAGTCTTACTACAAAGATCAGGTTTTTTTTGAACAAACTGCAGAGGCGTTTAAAGACNGCCGATGATGATAATTGGTATTTGCAATTCCTTTTTTCGAATAAATCAACCACTGAAGAAGTAAATCGACCGTTGAATAAAACTCTTACTGATGAGATCAGATGAACACAGACGTTAAAAAAAAGTCTTACTACAAAGATCAGGTTTTTTTTGAACAAACTGCAGAGGCGTTTAAAGACTTTTTGTGTTACTGCATAAATTTTTTGTCGTACTGCAGAGATCAGTTGAACACAGACTTTTACTGTATACAAAACTGCTCATTCAAAATTCAAAAATTAAAGATGACAAATATTTAATATTTATATATTTATTTCCTCAAATAACTGTCAATGATGGTTGCATATAGGGATGATAGTGGACCGGAAAAAAATGGATATTTGTCCAAACCCGTCCCGTTTGGACTGAAGATAGACTATACGTATTGGATGGTGGACGTATACGCGGATACCCGTATAAACCCGTGTGGGGATGAAGGCGGAGATGGACTTACCCCCGCCCCGCTCCGTCCCGTCCTAGTTACCCGATATATATATATATATAGGTCATTACATTGATCAATTACTTCTTTATTACATTCTGTATTTTTTTACAAATTAAAGAGTAGTTCACCGGATGAAATTTTCTTGGCATAGGTGTGTTTATAAATTTTTATTAGAAGTTTCAGAACCATAAATACCTTTTACATTGGGTTTTTATCATCATTTACTTGCATTCCATGTGTGATGTCATTAATAGATGTCATAATTTCAGAACACATAGATGACATATCCTTGGGTTCCCTTTTTTCTGTCATTTTAGCAAATTTTTTTGGAACATTATGCAGGCCATGAGCTTGTTGAAATAGACCATAGCAATTTCCATAGAATTGTAGTTAATTATCTCTCATAATAATTTCTCTTATTTCAACATAATTGAGTGCAAAGAAAAGAAGGCACACTTTTTATATTGTTACATCTTCTATTCCGATCATAACAAAAAAAAAAATGAAGTTATTTTAATTCTTATGACTTTCCTTGTGCTTGGGCGGATACGGGGGAAGCGAGGACGAGATGGGGATTATAAACTTACCCGCAGATAGGGATAAGAATGAAAATTATACCCGTTAACGGAGGTGAACCGGGGATTGATGAAAGTTTTTTAAGCGGGTACAGGGATGAAGACTATACCCCCTGCCTCGCTTTGGCCTATTGACATCCCTGGCTGCATAAATTAAAAAGGGTGTTTAAGTAAAAACAATTTTAATTCATTTAAATTTTGTACCTAAACAAAATTTTTTTTATAAAAATTGTGTTTAATAGAATAAATAATTTATTCATATACTTTTGTCTAAATAAGTATAAAAAATTGTACTCACACCTACAAAAAAAACCATCTTATCTCACGGAGATGGTGGGCCGAGAGTAGTCCAAACCAGTTCATACAAGATGNTACTGTATACAAAACTGCTCATTCAAAATTCAAAAATTAAAGATGACAAATATGTAATATTTATATATTTATTTCCTCAAATAACTGTCAATGATGGTTGCATATAGGGATGATAGTGGACCGGAAAAAAATGGATATTCGTCCAAACCCGTCCCGTTTGGACTGAAGATAGACTATACGTATTGGATGGTGGACGTATACGCGGATACCCGTATAAACCCGTGTGGGGATGAAGGCGGAGATGGACTTACCCCCGCCCCGCTNTAGAGAAATGATAGTTAAATCCTGAAGGGTAAAACATCATAACTCACTGCACTGAGTTTCATACTTAGGGAAGCAAAAATATATTTTTAAAGACAGTGATTACACGTCTCAATCGATTAATTTTCTTACCCTTTTTATTTTATGTTTATAGCATTTTAGACTAGAATTTATACAACATAAACACTCTTAACCGTTGAACCAAAAAAAAAATACTAAGAAGGAATCCAGTGTTATTTCTCATACTTCAGGGGGTTATCNTAAATTGAGAACTTTTTATCAACAAGAAAGATAATATAAACCAATGAATTTGTACACACTATTTTGTGAATTTCTTTGCGATCTGTCCCACCAAATTGCTTTGATATACTTTCAAATATGCTTTCATTTATCTGTTCATTGAATTTGAGAATNCTCCGTCCCGTCCTAGTTACCCGATATATATATATATATAGGTCATTACATTGATCAATTACTTCTTTATTACATTCTGTATTTTTTTACAAATTANTCTGACTAGTCGTCAAATCTAAAGAGGATCTTCTTGTAATTAACCCAACATACAGATAAAAGATACATAAATGAAATTTGGAGTTACCCCCACCAAATGTGTACATAGGACAGGTTGATATACCCACCCAAGCAACCCCATGTGTGTTAGACATGAAACTCCTCAGAAGATTCTGCTGAGGCAAGGCTGTATCAACAGTTACCATTATGAATGCAAAGGAAAGAGGTTATATTCAGGACCAGAAATTGTGCCTGAATTTGGCAGGCCCATAAGTAAAGGATGTCTTTGAAATTTTCCAGTAAACTTTTGTTTTTATCCTTTCCAGCACTCATCACCATCTCCATGAGTTTTTGCTCCCACAGTGTAAAAACACAAATCTCTATTCCTTTACAATCAACACAAAATAGTAAATCTGTAATTATAAAACCCAATATCAGGACTTCCATTCATTCATTGAATTCTTTCTCATCCTATTATTGGGTATAAAGCAATTTAGCAGAGGCCAGGGAGTGAGTCAAAGCTCACTCTCTGACTGTATGTGAATGAGGTATTCTCTCCTCCTCTTATAAGAGAGAATGGAGAAAGAAAAACAAAAGTGATGGAATCATGGAGCACTTTATNTGGAGAAATTATAGTTAAATCCTGAAGGGTAAAACATCATAACTCATTGCACTGAGTTTCATACTTAGGCAACCAAAAATATATTTTTAAAGACAGTGATTACACGTCTCAATCGATTAATTTTCTTACCCTTTTTATTTTCTGTTTATAGCATTTTAGACTAGAATTTATACAACATAAACACTCTTAACCGTTGAACCAAAAAAAAATACTAAGAAGGAATCCAGTGTTATTTCTCATACTTCAGGGGGTTATCTGACTAGTCGTCAAATCTAAAGAGGATCTTCTTGTAATTAACCCAACATACAGATAAAAGATACATAAATGAAATTTGGAGTTACCCCCACCAAATGTGTACATAGGACAGGTTGATATACCCACCCAAGCAACCCCATGTGTGTTAGACATGAAACTCCTCAGAAGATTCTGCTGAGGCAAGGATGTATCAACAGTTACCATTATGAATGCAAAGGAAAGAGGTTATATTCAGGACCAGAAATTGTGCCTGAATTTGGCAGGCCCATAAGAAAAGGATGTCTTTGAAATTTTCCAGTAAACTTTTGTTTTTATCCTTTCCAGCACTCATCACCATTTCCATGAGTTTTTGCTCCCACAGTGTAAAAACACAAATCTCTATTCCTTTACAATCAACACAAAATAGTAAATCTGTAATTATAAAACCCAATATCAGGACTTCCATTCATTCATTGAATTCTTTCTCATCCTATTATTGGGTATAAAGCAATTTAGCAGAGGCCAGGGAGTGAGTCAAAGCTCACTCTCTGACTGTATGTGAATGAGGTATTCTCTCCTCCTCTTATAAGAGAGAATGGAGAAAGAAAAACAAAAGTGATGGAATCATGGAGCACTTTATTGTTTCACATTTCGAAACAGTTTCNCTTATAGATGTTATAACTTATTTAAGCAAAGTCGTGTTGTTTAGGCCTTACTAGATTGAGTCATAACTGTGCCCTTATCTCATAGTTAATTCAGTAATAGAAAAGAAAATCTAATAGCATAATCGAATCCAAACAAGAATGTAAGAAAGAGAGAATGGAGAAAGAAAAACAAAAGTGATGGAATCATGGAGCACTTTATTGTTTCACATTTCGAAACAGTTTNCCTCTTATAAGAGAGAATGGAGAAAGAAAAACAAAAGTGATGGAATCATGGAGCACTTTATTGTTTCACATTTCGAAACAGTTTCATGTTGAGAATAAGGTTTCAAAAGAGGGAAGATGGTGAGATTTCAAAAGACATGGCATCGATACTTCATTGTCACCCAACTGAAAAACAACAAATTGTGTTTTCTCTTTTGCCTCAAAATAGCTTTTTCTCGGTTCATCATGGAACTTTGCCCGCATAGAGATGCTCAAGAAAGTTAAACTTTCATATGGCTCCGACTCCAAGAAAGTCTATAAATGGTGGTGCAATGGTCTCACACTGGCTTGCCATGATGTCCTCTGAAAGTGATGATGTGGGTTCAGTGACTGAGACTTGTGGTGTTGAGGCTGTGGAGTCTGAGAAGCTAGAAGGATAGCACTGGTAGTGTGGCTGTTGCATAGCAGTCATGAATGGAGGGTGGTGGGGATAAAAATAGGAGATGTTAGGTTCATCCCTTGGCCTATCCCAAGATCTGTTCTGGTTGAAGATTCCCATCATCTCATGGCTCTTTGGACCTGCATGAACACGATCAGAAAAGTAGAAAGCTGAAATAAGCAGTCAAACACCCATGTCTGTGTCTGTGTGTCTGTGAGAGAGAGAGAGGGAGGACCAAAAAAGGGGGAGAANATATATATATATATATAGGTCATTACATTGATCAATTACTTCTTTATTACATTCTGTATTTTTTTACAAATTAAAGAGTAGTTCACCGGATGAAATTTTCTTGGCATAGGTGTGTTTATAAATTTTTATTAGAAGTTCCAGAACCATAAATACCTTTTACATTGGGTTTTTATCATCATTTACTTGCATTCCATGTGTGATGTCATTAATAAATGTCATAATTTCAGAACACATAGATGACATATTCTTGGGTTCCCTTTTTTCTGTCATTTTAGCAAATTTTTTTAGAACATTATGCAGGCCATGAGCTTGTTGAAATAGACCATAGCAATTTCCATAGAATTGTAGTTAATTATCTCTCAGAATAATTTCTCTTATTTCAACATAATTGAGTGCAAAGAAAAGAAGGCACACTTTTTATATTGTTACATCTTCTATTCCAATCATAACAAAAAAAAATGAAGTTATTTTAATTTTTATAACTTTCCTTGTGCTTGGGCAGATACGGGGGAAACGAGGACGAGATGGGGATTATAAACTTACCCGCAGATAGGGATAGGAATGAAAATTATACCCGTTAACGGAGGTGAACCGGGGATTGACGAAAATTTTTTAAGCGGGTACAGGGATGAAGACTATACCCCCCGCCTCGCTTTGGCCTATTGACATCCCTAGCTGCATAAATTAAAAAGGGTGTTTAAGTAAAAACAATTTTAATTCATTTGAATTTTGTACCTAAACAAAAAAATTTTTATAAAAATTGTGCTTAATAGAATAAATAATTTATTCATATATTTTTGTCTAAATAAGTATAAAAAATTATACTCGCACCTAAAAAAAAACCCTCTTATCTCACGGAGATGGTGGGCCGAGAGTAGTCCAAACCAGTTCATACAAGATGAGAATGAATCCTGCTTTTAAGTTAAGTTAATAACATCTTCCTCCTCTTCTGTTACAGATTCTTACAGATATTCCACAATATTTATAGTTTCCCCATTCCAACCCAATTAATTTGCCACAGTACCCTTTGCTTTCGGGAAATTAACAAATTACAAAGTATGAATATAGATAGATTCACCAAGTTTTATATTTCTTGTGGAAAAAATTATTACTTTTGTAGTTGCAATGAATTGAGAACTTTTTATCAACAAGAAAGATAATATGAACCTAAAATGACATGACACGACACAACTTAATTTACATCCTTCTCTATGAGAATAAAAAAGATGATAACAAAGTGGTAAAGGAGGATGAAGGTTTGGGGACAAGTGGTGAAGGGGGCAAGCACAGGGTGGTGATGTGTGTGTGTGTGAGAGAGAGAGAGACTCTAAAGAGTGTTTGACAATAAGCTGAGGATGGGTATATTTCTCTACAAACTTAGGATAAAATATGCATGAAGCTTAGCATGTTTCAAAGGGGGCACAGTGGATTTCTCTCCGCTTTAGTTAGTAACTTACATCCCCATAACAATATTAGACGTGAATGGGCTGCTTTTGATCGAATCAGAAAAGAAATTAGTCAAAGTACACATAAATTGGTCTAAAATTCTATATTTTATTATAATTTAGAATAATTGCAAGTGTATTTGGACACTTGCATCCATTCCTCCAACCGACACATCGGACCATTGCATTCCTTCTAATACTACTTAAAGCAACAATAGCTTAGGTTTCGTATGATGCATAAGAAAATATATCTTCTATTTTTTTATGAGTAATGTTATTTGGATCTAAAAATTTGACCTAATTTGTTGATATAATGATGTAGCTTAACAAGAATCATTGGATCAACACCAAGTTTCAAAGTTTGATGGAGCCTACAGTCAATCCAAAAATTATAGTGAATTAGGTTAACAAATTAAGTCAAATTTTTAGGTATCAATAGCATTACTCTTTTTTAAAAGTTGTTCACTTATTTGCTTTCTAAACCAATGAATTTGTACACACTATTTTGTGAATTTCTTTGCGATCTGTCCCACCAAACTGCTTTGATATACTTTCAAATATGCTTTCATTTATCTGTTCATTGAATTTGAGAATGAGTAAAAGTTATTCGAAATACTGCTACATATACAAGTGGGACAGGAGCGGCCCAAGGCTATTTTATGCCTAAAGCGACAACTAAAAGTGTGGCTTTTTATTTTTATTTAATATATATATATATATATATATATATATATATTGAGATTAAAAATAATATTAATTTTTATGTTTTATAAGTTTTGATACTATATCTTTTTATATTGTTAGTATCATTAATATTCCTCTAATTTTTTTTGATAGTCGATCTTAGAGAAAATTTTATTAATTTAAATTTTTTAAAAACTTCTTTATTTTAAACAATTATAGTCTACTAATTTTAAGTTTTTAAATTTAAAAAAAATCAAAAACTTTTGATTTTTTTTGTAATACAAATCAAAAATAATTCGCAATATCAGATTTTTAAGTTTTATATTTTGGACACATAGGGAGGGGGAGAGAGAGAGGTAAAAAATGAGTAGTGTGTTTTGGTTAACCAATTTGAAGTTTTTTCAACCCTTAGCATTTGTTTTTTTTTACTAAAAAATTTGTTTTGGTGTATTTTTAATATTATAGACCGGTTTCATGAGCTCAAATTACTCAAATTTATTTTTTAATGGACTTAAATTTCAAGAATGTTTTATGTGCCTAAAATCTTATGAACCTAAATTTTTTTGATTTGAACTAACTATGCACTACAGAAATTTTGGGGCCTTCTTGGAACATGAGACCTAAAGCCTATACTTTATTAGTCTTGTGATTGGGCCGACCCGTTTGTAGAGAAATGATAGTTAAATCCTGAAGGGTAAAACATCATAACTCACTGCACTGAGTTTCATACTTAGGGAAGCAAAAATATATTTTTAAAGACAGTGATTACACGTCTCAATCGATTAATTTTCTTACCCTTTTTATTTTATGTTTATAGCATTTTAGACTAGAATTTATACAACATAAACACTCTTAACCGTTGAACCAAAAAAAAATACTAAGAAGGAATCCAGTGTTATTTCTCATACTTCAGGGGGTTATCTGACTAGTCGTCAAATCTAAAGAGGATCTTCTTGTAATTAACCCAACATACAGATAAAAGATACATAAATGAAATTTGGAGTTACCCCCACCAAATGTGTACATAGGACAGGTTGATATACCCACCCAAGCAACCCCATGTGTGTTAGACATGAAACTCCTCAGAAGATTCTGCTGAGGCAAGGCTGTATCAACAGTTACCATTATGAATGCAAAGGAAAGAGGTTATATTCAGGACCAGAAATTGTGCCTGAATTTGGCAGGCCCATAAGTAAAGGATGTCTTTGAAATTTTCCAGTAAACTTTTGTTTTTATCCTTTCCAGCACTCATCACCATCTCCATGAGTTTTTGCTCCCACAGTGTAAAAACACAAATCTCTATTCCTTTACAATCAACACAAAATAGTAAATCTGTAATTATAAAACCCAATATCAGGACTTCCATTCATTCATTGAATTCTTTCTCATCCTATTATTGGGTATAAAGCAATTTAGCAGAGGCCAGGGAGTGAGTCAAAGCTCACTCTCTGACTGTATGTGAATGAGGTATTCTCTCCTCCTCTTATAAGAGAGAATGGAGAAAGAAAAACAAAAGTGATGGAATCATGGAGCACTTTATTGTTTCACATTTCGAAACAGTTTCATGTTGAGAATAAGGTTACAAAAGAGGGAAGATGGTGGGATTTCAAAAGACATGGCATCGATACTTCATTGTCACCCAACTGAAAAACAACAAATTGTGTTTTCTCTTTTGCCTCAAAATAGCTTTTCTCGGTTCATCATGGAACTTTGCCCGCATAGAGATGCTCAAGAAAGTTAAACTTTCATATGGCTCCGACTCCAAGAAAGTCTATAAATGGTGGTGCAATGGTCTCACACTGGCTTGCCATGATGTCCTCTGAAAGTGATGATGTGGGTTCAGTGACTGAGACTTGTGGTGTTGAGGCTGTGGAGTCTGAGAAGCTAGAAGGATAGCACTGGTAGTGTGGCTGTTGCATAGCAGTCATGAATGGAGGGTGGTGGGGATAAAAATAGGAGATGTTAGGTTCATCCCTTGGCCTATCCCAAGATCTGTTCTGGTTGAAGATTCCCATCATCTCATGGCTCTTTGGACCTGCATGAACACGATCAGAAAAGTAGAAAGCTGAAATAAGCAGTCAAACACCCATGTCTGTGTCTGTGTGTCTGTGAGAGAGAGAGAGAGGGAGGACCAAAAAAGGGGGAGAAAACAATCATCAGTCCATGTATGAAAAGCAAAGGAATAATGAAAAACAAGATAATCAACTTAGTTCAAACTGCAAGTAGACCGGAAAGAGACTATAAACTATAAAGATGACATAATGGGATAGGTATATCAGTAAAAGAGAAACCAATGAGAAGCAGCACAAACATCCATTCTGCACAAACTGCAGGAACAAACATGTATCATAAGAGGGTATAAAAGTGGACTCACCAGTGAAGAGATCATCAGTTCTTTCTGTACTACCAGTCCTCTGAGATGAACCAAATGTTTCATACACAACACTACCAGCAGAACCTTCAAGGGTTGATAATGAGCAAGGAGAGAGATTGCATCGAGCTCCATTTGAAAAACTGACATGAACACAGTATGGTGGTGGTGTGGGATCTGCTTTAATGGCCGTCTCTGAGGAGACAAAACTTGAATCTGGCTCCATTATTTTATAAGAAGATAGACCCAGCTTCCTCCTTCTGTAAGCACTGGATTGTTCTCTATACTTTCTAGCCATTATAACATGCCAATGGTTCTTCACTGCATTATCTGTTCTTCCAGGAAAAAGCCTGGCTATCATAGCCCACTTGTTACCATAGAGTCTGTGAGCAGCCATTAGTCTCTCCTCTTCTTCTTCAGTGAAAGCTCTTCTGTTGATCCTTGGGTCCAACTGGTTAAACCATCTCAACCTACAGCTCTTACCTTCAACATTCAAACAACACAAAAAGAACCACAAGTTAGAAAGCATTAGGCTCATATGTTTAAGAAGGCAGATTACCTCTCTCTCTCTCTCTCCCTCTCTCTCTCTCTCTCCCTCTCTCTCTCTCTCTATCTATACCTGATCTTCCGTCCAACTTCTCTGCTATAAGGTTCCAGTTCTGAGGTCCATGAAGAGCTACAAGTTCTTTAAGCTTTGAATCTTCTGCAGGCCTCCAATGGCCTCTAGCACACAGCTTTGGAGGTCCATCCCCATTATCTGTTTCTTCACCACTGATCAATGTAAGCATGTCATGCTTCTCTTCATTAAACCCAACATTGAGATCAATGGTTCCATTGTTTTCTCCAAACTCATCACTGCAACAAGAGGCCTTACCTTCACCCACATCACCATTATGGCTATTTTTCAAGCTTCTGGAGGTGCAGTTGTTAATAAAAGGAAAAACCCTACTAGCCCTTCCATTTTCAACCTCAGGGTTCTCAAAGAAACAGCTATCCTGTGAAGAAGATGCTACTCTGTAGTTGGGATTGATAGAGAGAGAGCCCATGTCTGCAAAAACCATTCCCATTGAAGAGGCTATGGGAGAGGAAAAAGATGATGGTGAGAGAATAGGAGGGTAACAACCAACACCATCTGTATTATTTGGTGCATATATAACACACTTGTTGTCCATGCCTTCATTTCAGTTCTGACAGCTACTGTTACAGAACTGTTACGAAGTCATCTTCGTAGCCAGATGAAAAAAAGAGAAAATGAGGGGGGAAGGAGAAAGGAGATCGAAGGAACATCTAAAAACAGAAATAAGCAGCAAAAGTGTTTTTAACAGAAATCTCTCTCTCTCTCTCTCTCTCTCTCTCTCTCTCTCTCTCTCAGGTGAGTGTGTGAGTAGATAAGCATCCTGACTGATTCTCGCTGATCAAAAAGTTAACATCTCATTAGCAAATCCCACAGTCTTCACACGTGTGAGAGTGAGTGAAGTCTTCTCCCACTCTCTCACTGTGCAAGAGCGTAGGGCTAGAGGTCCTTAGGCTGTCTCTCTCAACATTGACAAGAAAAACGAATGGGAAGTCTGCTAGCTTGTGCTTTGTAGAGGTCTAAAGACAACTTTCTTTTCAAGGCTGAAAATGAGGGCTCGACATAGCAAACCTGTCAAAACAGAAATAAATAACCTGGCCCCTCCATCTCCATCAACCATTAATATCAGAGGGTTTAACTTTGCTTTCAGTTAACTTCCTGGGGTACACGAAAAACGATTCAGACTACAACCAATCCCATCGGGGGTGATAAGAAAAAACAATGGAAAAACAACAAACATATAGGTTTATTATACAATTTGCTTGTCTCTTTTGGACAAAACGTACTGTTTACAGTCCAAAGATGTCTCCAAACTTGATGTCCTTCCAACGCCATTCTATGGTTGATCTTGTTTAACTCAATTTAGGAGTTCTTACCTTGTTATTACTTGTTTCGGAATTTACCACCAGACAAGTGTATGCACATTATACAGTTGATTTTTGTGAAAATCGTCAGGTGGATGGTCCTAATTCCAGTCCTACCGATCACCTGAACCTTCGTTGGATAAGAATTTACCTTATTTTTTTTTATGTTTTCATGGGCAAAATCTATATACTTACTTAATATTTCAATTTTTCCATATAATATATTTATTGTCTTTGAGTGAAGTGTATGCAGACATGATTACTACTATTCTACAATCCCAAGAGAGTACAAGTGTTAAGAGCATCTCTAACGAGTTTTTGTATTTTAATTATTTATTTTTTTAATATACATCCTAATAAATTTTTTAAAATTTAAGTACTTCTTTTAAATGTTATTTTTTATATTTTATTCCTTTATTGGAACTATTGAAGGGAGAGAGAGAATAGAGGAAAAGATAATGAGTAAACAAGAGAGATGAGTAAAGACAAAATGAGAGAGAATATGTTATAAATTATTTATACATGAAGGTACAGAGCATCACAATAATAAAATTATATTTTATCTATTCTATACATGTTCTCCAGGAGTATGGTTTTTATCTTTAGATAGTTAAATTTTAATTATTTTGGAGTTTTAATCATTCGCTTGGGGATACTCCAACATAGGGTGTGTTTGCTTAGAGGATTGATATTCATGGGATTAGCTAATGTATTCCATACACTTCCAATACTAAAAAAAGTTAATACCAATAATAAAAATAAATACAATCTCATCTCATGTTTGTTTGAACAATATATTTTATTGTGGAACCTACCAAAAAACATTTATTATGTCACATCTTATATAGCAATAGACATATTTATCCCTAATACCATACATTCCATTCCTTGGAAGGGATAGAATAGTAATTAGAATTTACATTACTATATACCATTGGTGCTCCTACTCCTGCCTTTTAATACCATCACTCAGGTGGTATTAGATATATATACATGTAAATGGGTTTAGTGTTACTGTTTATACTGGGTCAATATTAGAATTCAAAAATTAATATTTTGCTAAAAATAATTAATAAATAAAATATATGTGAGACCTATGTACTAATAAACACCATCCTACCTCTTTATACCTCATTTATCTCCCAAACAAACACATCCATAGGGCATTCTACAATCCCAAAAGATGGGTCAATTGTTAATAGAGTCTTCTACAACTTCAAGAGACAGTCAAAGTGCTAATAGAGACAAGCGGTTACTTGGGACAAATTTTTTAGAGTAGTTGTGAAAAGCCAGAAAAAAAAAAAAAAAGGGAGATAAATTCCATATATTCAAGTATAACTTGTAAAGATCCCTTCACAAACTTCTTATAATTTTGTCAAATATTTCTTACTTGAAGGCTAGTTAGATCAAATATAATGTGATCCATTGGGTTTTTTTTTTTGTGTCTAGCCTTGCACCGACTATTCTTTCAAATTCAACGGCAGACTACCTTGACTTAATGTGGTCTAAAGCATGTCTCCAAAGAAAAAAATGTGACTAATCCTTAGGGAGTGTGGGAAGATATTAAATGTGAGATCTCTAGGTTACCAAATAAATAAATTTAACCACTGAATCACCCCTAAGAGTTAATGTGATTCATTGTTAGAGCATCTCTATCTCAACTCTCTAAAATAGTTAGTCAAAATATATTTAACTATTACATTTTTTATATTAGCTAATCACTTTTATAAATTTATTCCAACCATACTCTTTATTTTAGTTAATTTCTTCACTCAACTTTCACTCACTTCCAATAATTTAAAGATAATACAACATATATATAGAGAGAGAGAATTTAAAGAGGTTAAATGACTCTCCATATTTAGAGTCATTTGGGTGAAANACAATAATAAAATTATATTTTATCTATTCTATACATGTTCTCCAGGAGTATGGTTTTTATCTTTAGATAGTTAAATTTTAATTATTTTGGAGTTTTAATCATCCGCTTGGGCATACTCCAACATAGGGTGTGTTTGCTTAGAGGATTGATATTCATGGGATTAGCTAATGTATTCCATACACTTCCAATACTAAAAAAAGCTAATACCAATAATAAAAATAAATACAATCTCATCTCATGTTTGTTTGAACAATATATTTTATTGTGGAACCTACCAAAAAACATTTATTATGTCACATCTTATATAGCAATAGACATATTTATCCCTAATACCATACATTCCATTCCTTGGAAGGGATAGAATAGTAATTAGAATTTACATTACTATATACCATTGGTGCTCCTACTCCTGCCTTTTAATACCATCACTCAGGTGGTATTAGATATATATACATGTAAATGGGTTTAGTGTTACTGTTTATACTGGGTCAATATTAGAATTCAAAAATTAATATTTTGCTAAAAATAATTAATAAATAAAATATATGTGAGACCTATGTACTAATAANACTATTCTACAATCCCAAGAGAGTACAAGTGTTAAGAGCATCTCTAACGAGTTTTTGTATTTTAATTATTTATTTTTTTAATATACATCCTAATAAATTTTTTAAAATTTAAGTACTTCTTTTAAATGTTATTTTTTATATTTTATTCCTTTATTGGAACTATTGAAGGGAGAGAGAGAATAGAGGAAAAGATAATGAGTAAACAAGAGAGATGAGTAAAGACAAAATGAGAGAGAATATGTTATAAATTATTTATACATGAAGGTACAGAGCATCACAATAATAAAATTATATTTTATCTATTCTATACATGTTCTCCAGGAGTATGGTTTTTATCTTTAGATAGTTAAATTTTAATTATTTTGGAGTTTTAATCATTCGCTTGGGGATACTCCAACATAGGGTGTGTTTGCTTAGAGGATTGATATTCATGGGATTAGCTAATGTATTCCATACACTTCCAATACTAAAAAAAGTTAATACCAATAATAAAAATAAATACAATCTCATCTCATGTTTGTTTGAACAATATATTTTATTGTGGAACCTACCAAAAAACATTTATTATGTCACATCTTATATAGCAATAGACATATTTATCCCTAATACCATACATTCCATTCCTTGGAAGGGATAGAATAGTAATTAGAATTTACATTACTATATACCATTGGTGCTCCTACTCCTGCCTTTTAATACCATCACTCAGGTGGTATTAGATATATATACATGTAAATGGGTTTAGTGTTACTGTTTATACTGGGTCAATATTAGAATTCAAAAATTAATATTTTGCTAAAAATAATTAATAAATAAAATATATGTGAGACCTATGTACTAATAAACACCATCCTACCTCTTTATACCTCATTTATCTCCCAAACAAACACATCCATAGGGCATTCTACAATCCCAAAAGATGGGTCAATTGTTAATAGAGTCTTCTACAACTTCAAGAGACAGTCAAAGTGCTAATAGAGACAAGCGGTTACTTGGGACAAATTTTTTAGAGTAGTTGTGAAAAGCCAGAAAAAAAAAAAAAAAGGGAGATAAATTCCATATATTCAAGTATAACTTGTAAAGATCCCTTCACAAACTTCTTATAATTTTGTCAAATATTTCTTACTTGAAGGCTAGTTAGATCAAATATAATGTGATCCATTGGGTTTTTTTTTTTGTGTCTAGCCTTGCACCGACTATTCTTTCAAATTCAACGGCAGACTACCTTGACTTAATGTGGTCTAAAGCATGTCTCCAAAGAAAAAAATGTGACTAATCCTTAGGGAGTGTGGGAAGATATTAAATGTGAGATCTCTAGGTTACCAAATAAATAAATTTAACCACTGAATCACCCCTAAGAGTTAATGTGATTCATTGTTAGAGCATCTCTATCTCAACTCTCTAAAATAGTTAGTCAAAATATATTTAACTATTACATTTTTTATATTAGCTAATCACTTTTATAAATTTATTCCAACCATACTCTTTATTTTAGTTAATTTCTTCACTCAACTTTCACTCACTTCCAATAATTTAAAGATAATACAACATATATATATAGAGAGAGAATTTAAAGAGGTTAAATGACTCTCCATATTTAGAGTCATTTGGGTGAAATAAAAAATAAAGAGCGAGTTGGAGAGTATTTTTTATGTTTAACTAACTAAAATAGCTAAAAGAGAGAAAGTGGATAGTGGTTGGAGATGCTCTTACATGCAAATAGTTTAGTTTCAAACGGATAATTTTCTCAANCCATCACTCAGGTGGTATTAGATATATATAC